TCGGGCTCAAACTGATAAGCAATATAGACGATGTCATTGTTTACAATACAACCGTAGCACATGCCGCTATGTTGAGGGGCGGGACATTTAGATGCGCGCTAGAGGCGGTTTAGCCAATCACAACACACTGGGCCAGCTGATCAATCAGAGCCCATCGTGTATTTCTGAGGGAGGGGCTTCATAAAAGCAGGAAATGATCAGCGCGTTCAGAGGAGAAGGGACAGAGAGGTGTGGAATAAAGGTAAATTATGTGAAAAATAATGCGTTTTTTAACAAACGAAGCATTAACACATGTTAGACTGCCCCCCATAAACACAATCAAGCCTATAAAAAAAACAGTCAACCACCCCTTTAAATGTGAAATCACACTAACAGTGAACCTCAGAGAACATTATAAAATAATTTAAAAAATGCAGTTCATGACCCCTTTAAACATTTTTTTTTCAGTTTTGAATTGAATTTGATTAAATAAATCTGGCCACTGCAAATAATACAATGAAAAAAATTACATTGTTTTTCATTATTATTATTATTATTTTGGCTTTTGTGATGTCTTCACTGGTTGCACACAATAAATAAACACACAACCAGTGTGGTGCAATTCACAAACATGCATTGTTAAATTCTTCATCTCTATCGGTGACATATCATAAAATGATGCAGATACATACATAACCTATCCTGTATTTGGCAGGCAGAATCTTGGCCATCTTACAACCAATGACTGAAAGAGAGAGAGAGATCTTGTAGAGGAAAATAAAGATTATATGGGGGGGGTAAATCTAAAAAATATACAAATGCCATACAGACTCGTACTGTATATGCAGCTGTAATTCAGCATTGGGTGTAAGGTTCCATTTGGAGTGCATCCTCTCATCTGTTCTGGCAAACACTTCAAGGAGCACAGCGTTATGGGTATTTATCCCTCTCTATATTTTTCCCTCAATCGAAGATAAAATGCATTATTTACAGGAGCGGTTAAAGAAGGACACAGAAGCCTTCATGATGGCCATCCGAGAGCTGCTGTTTCTCACATATCTCACACACTCTGTCATTTACCAGCATTCGCAGCTCGCCCGCTATTGATGTATGGAATATAATTGCTGGCTCTGGGAAGGAGAGGGAGAGAGAGAGAGAGAGACAGAAGCTAGAGAGACCACCATCTCACAGACCATGTTATATCACAGGAATCTATCATCTATCTATCTATCTATCTATCTATCTATCATCTGTCTGTCTATCATCTGTCTGTCTGTCTATAAATTCAAACAAAATTGCTTGATTGGCATGACTGAAGTAAGTAAAACAATGCACAAGTTACTTAACGGTAGGGAGAGAGCGAGAGAGAGACAGAGAGAGAGAGCGAGAGAGAGCACCATCTCACAGACCATGTTATATCACAGGAATCTATCATCTATCTATCTATCTATCTATCTATCTATCTATCTATCATCTGTCTGTCTATCATCTGTCTGTCTGTCTAAATTTAAATTCAAAATTGCTTGATTGGCATGACTGAAAAAAAAAAGAAGCTTGGAATATATGTGGAGAAAACATAAAAAATAGCAATGTAAAGATCAGAATAAGATAAGAAAAAAATATAACTATTTAAATTTGTAATTATTTAAAATGTAACGATTCTGTGGGATTTGATTTTAAAGGGTTAGTTCACCCAAAAATGAAAATTAGCCTGTGTTTTACTCACCCTCAACGCATCCTAGGTGTATGTGACTTTCTTCTGTCAGACGAATCCAATTGGAGTTATATTAAATATTGTCCTGGCCCCTCCAAGCCTTTCAATGAGGGTAAGCGGGTGTTTGTTGTCAACAGTTCAGAAGATGTGAAATAAAGTGCACGCATCCGTAATAAAACGTCCCTCACACCGCTCCGGGGGGTGAATAAAGGCCTCCTATAGCGAATCCATGCATTTTTGTAAGATAAATATCCATATTTCAAACATAATAAAGCCTTTTTTCTCACTTCCGCTGACTGTGGTACGCGGAAGTCGTGCAGGCGGATGGCGTAGGACGTTGGTGTCGTGCACGCGCCTCTGAGATATGCAGGAGCAAAGGAAACTTACCCCCAGTTTCACAGACAAGGCTTAAGCTAGTCCCAGACTAAAATGCATGTTTGAGCTGTCTCAACTGAAAGTATCTTGCTCTGACATATCTTAAAATATGTCAGTGTCATTGTTCTGTGTCAAGATGCACACCTGTAATGTTTTCTTCTAAGGCATTTTTGTAAAAGTTGCTTAAATATCTTAATTTAACTAAGGTTAGGTTAAGGTAAGGTTAGTTTAAGCTAAGCCCTGTTTGTGAAACCGGGCCAAAGTTTCCTTACTTTAGCAAAGGAAAACCAGTCTCCTCTTGGCTCATATCGAAATCCTCCAACATTTTTCTTTACAAATCCTCGTTTTGTGCTTCTAATTCGTGACCGGCGTTTTGTTTTGTTTTGTCTCTGCGTTCGTCACTAATCACGCAACGCCGACGTCTTTCGTCATCTGCCGGAACGGCTTCCGCGTACCACAGTCAGCGGAAGTGAGAAAAAAGTGTTTATTACGTTTGAAATACGGATATTGATCTTACAAAAACTCATGGATTCACTACTGGAAGCCTTTATTCACCCCCCGTGAGGGTTGTTTTATTACGGATGCGTGCACTTTATTTCACGTCTTCTGAACTGTTGACAGCAAACACCCGCTTATCCCCATTGAAAGGCTTGTAGGGGCCAGGACAATATTTAATATAACTCCGATTGGATTCGTCTGAAAGAAGAAAGGCACATACACCTAGGATGCTTTGAGAGTGAGTAAAACACATGCTAATTTTCATTTTTGGGTGAACTAACCCTTTAAATGCATCCAGAATTTTAGGGATATTTTTTGTATATTAATAATCATTGAGAATTGGTAATTCAATATTTTGGAATTTTTTTTTCTTAATGGCACATAGAGATCTTCAAGCTTTATCTTTGAGAGCATTCACTGCCATACTGAAACTTCCCGATGCAGTGATGATCAGGCTATGGTAAGTATACTGCATTGTGTGTTCTAGGGTGGTGCTGCCTAGATGGAACTGGTATCTGTGTTCCTGGCATCTGGGCTTTTTCTGAAAGACCATAATGTTGGTCTTTTTGAGGTTTACTGCTGTGCTGCTGTAGTCCCTGTGTGGTGGCTAACAGCAGCACCAGATCATCTGCGTACAGCAAAAGCTTGATGTTTTTGTCCTGTAGATTAAGTTCAAGGTCTGTAGACTGTTCCAACTGCACTGCTAGTTCATTAATGTAAATGTTGATTAGTGTTGGACTCAGGCTACAGCCAGGGGCAGACTGGCCATCTGGACCATCTGAAGAAGTCCAGAACGGCCGTCCATCCGACGGCCTGGCTGGTTCATCATCAAAGAAAAAGTGTCAGATTAAGTGACATTGACGGCCAACAAAAGGGGGCGCTAATGCAATCTTTTTTGCTTGTAATAAACCAAAACTGATGCGGAGGAGAGTGGACTTGTGATGACAAGCAAGTCCTTAGAGACCGAAAAAAAGAGAAGTGTAGAGATCGATGCTGCAAAATGCAAAAAAATAACCAATGTTTGGCAATAGTCCTGCCAGCAGCAGTGCAACTGCAGGCAGCTGTAGCCCTAATCTTGAGACGTAAAATAACTTAAAATTAAAGTTTTCTTTTAATTCACTAATTTTATGATTGCACATATTCTGTGATATTCTGTGTTTCGGAGCAGCTCAAGACATTTCTTATCGCGCTGTGTGAAATAAAGACTGAACAGCGGCACAAAACACCCGACCGCTGCATGTGCATATGATACACAAACTACAGTTCTCGGCTGGATAAAGCAAGCCAGTGTCAAATTTTGATGGATGATGATTGTAATCAAGGTAAAGATGATTACAGTGTACAGGAGTCGTACATTAGGTGTGCGTGTATCCGTGTTTATTACTGATGCGCAAACAAACCATGTATTTGCGCTCTCGGCGCACTGATCACTAACATCATATTTCTGCATGAACACAGTTCAGTATATTCATGTAGTTGTCAAAAATTAATGTACAGCGAGTGTTTTATAACGGATGCTCTCCGAAGAAGAGTGTTTTGGAGAAGTTTGTGAGGATCAGTGGTGTTTATGTACATATGGGCATCACACACTCCAAACACAGACACGATCACTGCTTCTGACAGAGGAACTGCTCACTGATGACGTCGAGGTGCCTTCAGATCGCTGAGTTTCCACACATTCAGAATGTTTTAATTTTTCAGTTGTATTTTGGTGTGTTTAGTGATTCTAAATGGAGCCGTATAGTAGTTTATATGCAGTCCTTTGGAATCTCCCTGTGGCAGGTTGGCTTGTGCTTATTTGTTAAACTTACTGTATAATTGAGCTTTGATGTTTTTGCAAAGTAGTTTTAAAATAGTTACATGGAACTGAAAAGTGATAACACTAGAATACAAAGGTTTTTGTGAATTTAAGGTTTGGGGGCCTTGTAGAATTGATTCGGAGAGGAGGGAATAAAAAAGGTTGAGAACCACTGCCCTAGTCTGAATGTTCACTGCTATTTCACACACACACACAGACACACACACACACACACAAACATGAATACTCTAGTTGTAGAATAGTTCTGTTGTTTCAGGTTTCTAGATTCTATGTTTACGTTTATCATTATATGTCATATACATTTGTTTTTGCTTTCTGCTCTTTTTATGTAGATTTAAAAGTATTTTAGTTCATATAATACATTTATTTCAATCACAATTGAAATAAATGCATGCTTTCTTTTTCCAACTCAGTTTTACATGCTGTTTTTTATATATGTAATTTATTTAATTTATAGCCAAATTAACACCATCTTTAGTTGTTACATTTTTTTGTTAATAAATTTAGTGATTCGATTTTTAAGTTTTTTTCAGATTGAGGGCTTTAATAAAATTGTATCTGTATCTTGGCTGGATTTGATACATTGTACAGGTCTTGAGTATGTTTTGTGTTATTGTGTAATGTGTTTTAATATAAATGTTAATTTGGCTATGGTCAGACACTGGTTAGACACTGGATCACAGGTGAGGATTGTGTTCGACAGCTGGTTTTCCAGAAATCTCCCAGATGTGCCCATTCACCTGCTGACTTTATTGTCGATATATGGGGGCTCAGCTCATCCAGTTACCCATAAAAGGGGTATATAGTTATTGACATCACCTTCCCTGCTTCTGTTACTGGTGTGGAAGAGTCACTGTCCATTCTGGCCCTTGTATGCCCTGATCCTCAAGGTCCCCCCAAGTGCCGGTTATAATTGATACCAACGCAAGTTTCTTCAAACGACTTTCTGTGCTCAGTCATGGTATTGAGGGATCCAGGGTCGCACATGCTTTCAAAATCCAGACCCGACACTCCGTGCTCCATCTGCCTCAGCTGCAAGAGACTGAGAAACTCCCTGACAAGCCTGAGGGAAAAGTTTGGTGGATAGGTCCTGGTGACTGGTTCCACCAAGAGGGGAAGTATGCGCCGTCTGTCAAATGGAGACTGACAAGCCTCCTGGTTCATAACGAAACATTTAAGGATATTTCTATTTTGGCAGGAACAATAGTTGCCCATGTGCATCCCACAGACACGCTGGCAGTACCTTCTGGAGGCTCCAACAGCTCCCACGTAATAGACCCAATGTTGTTTAATTTCGGTGAGTCATCTATTCCTGAGGCCTGGGAACGGAGACTGTGTCAGAAGTTGTCCACTAGGGGAGATGTGTTTTCCACCAACGAGTGGGACACTGGATTAGCTAGAGAAGTTGAGCATCACATCAGGCTGTGAGAGAACAATCCATTCAGAGAATGCTCCAGGTGCATCGCACAGGCTGAAATCGAGGATGTACGACATCACATCAAAGAGTTGTTAACAGCTGGAATCATCAAGGAATCAAGAAGCATGCATGCATCGCCCATTGTGGTGGCCCGGAAGAAGAGCAGGGCCATAAGAATGTGCATCGATTACTGTACTCTAAATGCTCATACAACACCTGTTCAGTACACCACACCATGGATTGATGATGCCCTGGTCTGCTTGGTGGGAAGCAAATGGTTTGCCATACTGGATACTATCAAATAGCCATGTTAGAGGAGGATAAGGAAAAAAACTGCATTCATCTGTCCCCTGGGATTCTTTCAGTTTCAGCGGATGCTGCAAAGAATTACTGGAGCTCCAGCCACATTTCAGTGGCTTATGGAGAAAGCTGTGGGAGACATGCACCTCCTCCAAGTCCTTGTATTCCTTGACCACATCATTCTGTTTGGCTGCAGAACATGAAAAGAGACTGTTGAAAGTCTTAGACCGTCTGAGTGAGTGTGGGCTGAAGGTTTCCATTGATAAGTGCCAGTTTTGTCAGTCCCAAATCTGGTAATTTGGGCACATTGTGTCAGCTGCTGGAGTGTCACCAGTCCCCGCCAAGATAGAAGCTGTAACTCGCTGGAAGATGTCCACCAACCTGAAGTCACTGAGATCCTTCCTGGGTTTTGGTGGGTTTAATTGCCACTTCATAAAGAGTTGACCGTTGACCGAGCTCACCAAAGGGTATCCGCCAAAACCTGG